TATATCAACAGGGTCTCCTTGTAAATCAAATTGATCCTACAAAAAATAGATAAATCATAGATAATTCTTATAAAAAATAAAATAATTACATAAATAATTAAGATTTCTAACCTATTATAAAAATGAGTAAAATGTCCTATAATAGAGTAGACAACAAACTTACATTCAAGCGTTGAAACATCGCCTCCTTAACGGAGGCGTCAACATACTTTCACCTATGAACACTTGGATCTGGTAAACGAGTTCGCACTTCTACACCAATCTTTGAGGCTAGTTTTGAGGCATAGTCCCCTACCGGTGCACAAAATTCTGGAGGGATAGGCACGCTAAGCTTTCCATCTCTATCAACAAGGCCTTGAACCTCTTTGCCTCGAGTCGGGCCAGGAACACGCTTGGCAACTGATATTGTGAAGCCATTATATTGAAATAGTATGTGAACAAATTTAATTAAGATCTCAAATCAATGTAAATAAAGAGTGTGTCTTACCAATAGTATTACCAGCAATCACCTCAAGTTGAGGCTCCACATTGAGAGGTGGTGGCGGATGGCTAGCCACCTCAGGACGTGAAGAGGTATCCCCCTCTTCTGATGCGTGGGTTAATGCCTCAAGTTTTTTAAATTTGTTTATGTCATAAAACACATCATGTGTACTATTAACCTATTCCATTAGGGATGCACAATGTGTATCATACAAAGAAAATCATATGACGTCGTCTATCTCTAATCTTTCCTTAGTTCTCCAAGTATATAACATAGATTGAGATGGAACATATTTAAGTAGTAAAGTTGTAAAGTACAATGTAGACTAATGTATTTTCAAATTATTTGAATTTGGCCAAAACAGAGCAGATTATGAACCAGACATCCCAACAGATTATGTACCAGACCACTGAGAGCAGCTGCTGCTGTCCATGGACAAAATTGTTCATCTAGAATTATATTCAGATTAAATAAAAATACCATATTAAATTTTCTTCTTACCTTTTTTTATTTAAATACTTTTATTTTTTAAGAAATTTGTTTTTATTCTATTTAATATTTTATTGTAATTTTTAAACTAAAAAGAATTTCTAAAAAATCATATCTAAATTATTTATGCCATTATAAAAAGTAAATTTTTTTAACATCAACTTAGTGATAGTTTGGGAAGTGCTAAATAAATATAGTTTTTACTTTTTATGAAAATATGTATCGAAAAGTAAAGTTGCGATGTGACCCAAAAAACAACAATTAAGTATAAACTTTTTTACTTTTTTCGAAATAAATACTTTTTACAATTAAGCTCGACTCAAGTTGCTTAGATTGAGCTCACCTAAGTTTACAATTCTAGCAAGAAGGGTGAAAGTTATATGATTGCGACAAATTAAATAATAATAAATAAATTGTGACAAAATTGTAGAACTTAAATTGTAAATTTCAATTTTCTCTTGTTTTCATAATTTTTGCATACAAAAATTTAACTTATTTATATTATTTTATATAAAATATATTATTAATTTTTTTACATGTCGTGCATAGCACGGGTTACCAACTAATATATATTTATGTATACAAATACACTCACGCAATATAGAAATATCGCTGATAAATAACTTCATCAAAGACGATCAAAAAGGTGGTCATCAAATGACGATCAAAAACAGGTGGTCAGAAACCTAGTTGGAATTAAATAATGATAAAACAAAACGCTCATTACAAATAATAATAGAAGAACAACCGCAAGCATGATCTTGCACACGAAACAAGAACCAACAGCATTGCATAAAATGCCTAGAATTTTCCAATCAATCAAAGAAAGCAAGAGAGAAAGTGAAGAGAAAATGGAAGTAGCAACAAAACCTGATTCGTTCAATAGGTGAAGATGTCAGAACTCGGAACCTACAAACGGATGCATATATTGAAAGGGAAAATAAAAGGATTAATGAGAAATTGAACTTTGGACGAGAAACAAACAGAAATGTATAAGAAAATGGGGGAAAGGAAGAAAGGAAAATTGAAATCTATCTACCTCTAACAAAAAACGGCTGGTGGAGAGAGAAAACCCTAGAACAAAAATAAAAAAGCAGGAGAAAGTAAAGAGACAAAGGAGAAGGATTTTGAGTGCGAAAAAGTTTGGGTATTTTTAGAGTTTGAATAGAAAAAATACGTTGCAAACAAGGCATGTAATAGAGTCGGTTGTTGAATTCGAAAAGTTGGGTATTTGTTTGGACATCTAAATGGTAAAAAAATAAAAAAAACTACTAAATATGAAAAAAAAAAATCAACAAAGACCAACGAAAAATCTGTTTAGACAAACTAAAATATTTTGGTTTTTAGATATGAAGGGTAAGGCTTATGAGGTGTTCTCATTAAGAAACAGCCCAATTAAAGATGGTTTTCATGATGATGTTTCGATGGTGGAAATAAATAAACAAAAGATGGAATATAGATTATGATGATTTGGGGGAGCTCACAGATGGGCATTGATCAAAGAAATTGAGTGGTTGACAGAAAGAATCTCTAAAAGAAAAAGAGATAGTCAATAATAATAAATAAATAAATAAAAAGGTTAGAAATAATTCAAAAAGTTATTATTTCTCTAAATCTAAAATGAAGTTGATAAGGCCCTACATGCCCAAATCATAACTAAAAAAAAAACCGCAGCAGTGAAGCTACATGTAATTTTTTTATTCCTTCTATATTGTAATGAAACACACATCCTAGAATGTTTTAGATAAAATTACATTTTTTATTTTTTTTTTTTTTTGGGTTTGGCCTCAAAATAATAATGTGTGCTAAAAGTCTAATTAACCTATATGAAGATTAACATTTCCTCTCTATAAAGTTAATGATATTATAGAGAGTTAGTAAGGATGATGTATGATGCGCAATGACGTCTTATCTTGCCCAAAAAAGGGATAGAAGTAATCGATTAAAAAAATATTATAAACTAAAAATTATGTTAGAAAAAATTCATTTGTAAAAATTTAGTAATTTTGCATCTTGAAAAGTAAGAAATGTTATATTTAAATAAAAAATTAAAATAATAATTATTTAAATGTGAAGAGCCTTCGTTTGAGATTTTGCTTGGGTCTCAAAAATAATTCATTGAATTGTGTCTTTAAAGGGAGGGTGTTCCCTCATTGGTTAAGAGTCTTGAGATAATCACTTTGGATGGATATTAAGTAAATTATTGCACTAGATTATAAAAAAAAAAAAATAATAATAGAGAAAACTGATTTTTATTGAAGTCAGGGATGACATCCCGATTACATAGGCAAAAAAAAAAAAAGAAAAAGAAAAGAAAAGAAAAAGGAGCAGGGTTCTTGTTTTTGATAACAGTCACATGCCGACTTCACTTACTTGACTCTCTCGCCGAGCTCTTCCTTTTTTTGTCGCCTTGGGAGACCCTTGAAGGCTCCGCCTCAGTGTGTACAAGACCGCCGAGAGAGTTGACTCCCTGCTGGTTGTCAAAGGCAAAGTACGAAGGTGCTCCGAATCGAGTCAAGACGGTAGTCTTTCGTTTCAACTCCTTATTCTTCGCCTTCAGGGCACAAATCTCTGCTCGCACATCTTTGTACATGCGCTGGAGCAGAGAAAGTTGGGAATTTAACTGTTGTACTTCACTGGTTCTATTCTGCAATCGGTGAGATAATTTGGTAACCGCGGTCACTGTTTCCATGCAAGAGCTCAGTGTGAAGTGGTTGGCCTCAATGTCAGATTGAGCAGCCATGATTTGCTTAACTGACATCGTGGGAAAGTTAAGAAGAGTGGTAGCAGGGACACTCGGTCCAAGAAGGTTAGGAAGAGTAGGAGCAGAGGCACTCGGTCCAGGAAGGTTAGGAAGAGTAGGGGCAGGGACACTCGGTCCAGGAGAGCTTGGATCATTGAGGCCCGGAAAGAGAGTGAGAGGACGAGACGAGGCCATGTGTAGTGAGAGATGTAAAGAGAAAGAAAGGAGAATCAGAGAAATAGCAGAGACTAGACTGAATTTGGGGACAACTTTTCTCCTCTGTATAGTCTCTCTTTTTCTCTCGATGAGGAAGAAGAAACAGAAGCAAAGTGATGAAGAAGAAGAAGATGGAAGAGAATGATGAAAAAGAGGAAAAATGAGTGAATAAGTAGAAGAGGGAAGATACTGATTCAGAAGAATGCAGAAAGAGAAGAAGACAAAAGGGAGAGAGAGCCGAGGCGAGCTTACAAATCGAGGTCTGCTTTTGTCGGCCAACTGACTCAAAAGCAAGGCCGCGTGTCAAACGCAGTTTTCGAAGGAAGAGAGAGAAGCGGCAAAGTTGTATACATATATGTATCTATATTGTATATTTACGCATTATATACATTTATTCGACTATATCTAGTCACAAGAGTGACTTGAGTTTAGTGGTTTGCGTCAGTGGTTGAGGGATTCGTGTTTTATTTCCTTTTTGCATGTTTTGCTTACGCGTGATGACGTCAGCTAACTGAATATTCCGTCGTAGTTAAGATTTGTGTCGGAAAAATTAGAAGAGAATTCCCTTGTTTAGTTGTGATTCATTTTCTGAAAATTGATTTTTTTTGCTTTTTGTGATTTTTTTATTTTCAATGAATTTTTTAATATTTTAAATAAACTTTTAACTTTTTAAATGGATGTAATGTATCTAAATAGTAAAATATTTATGAAAATATTAAAAAATTATATAAATACACAATAATACTTGTATTTCTGTGTTTGATGATTTTTTTCATAAATATTTTATATTGTATCTAGGTTCATCTAAAAAAATAAAAAAAATTCTTAAAATATTGAAATTTTTGACTAGAAAAAAAAATATAGAAATAAAAAAAAAACTAAATTTTCTGAAACCAAAGGTGAATTTTTGTTGTTTTTTCGCTTCATACACGGCCTTATGTTTGTTCTCCTTGGAAAATATGTCTTATCTGAATTTGGGTATGTTTTGCGGCAAATGTTACTATTTTTGTCAACAGAGCTAATCTTGTCTTAGTCGTCTTCTTCTTCATCTTTATATATACATATTAAAATTTTTTAAGTGTGTGTTTTATCTTATGGGACATTGCTCCTTTTTTGGCACTGAGCTAAGAGTAGCTAGCTTGTTGATGTGTTACTTGGATGTTCATTACATGACTTGTAAATATTGAAATAATATATAGGTAATTCCATCTCAGAAAGCTGGATCACCAAGGAATCAGAGATAAGATCAGATCTGTACTTCAAACTTTATCGTTTAATTGCCTTCCAACTCTGGCTCAATTTTGGGCGCCTGTAACAATTCAGAACAGGTGTTTTCTAACAACTCAAGACCAACTTTTTGTCTTTTCATTATTGATAAAGGACTTTGTTCGCATAGAATGATCTCTATGGAGTATAAATTCTACGTGGATGGTGATAGTGAAGAAGAACTCGGGCTTCCTGGTCATGTGTTTCGGTATAAATTCCTTGAATCAACTCTTGATGTGCGGTATTACTCTACCGAAGAACACCCACAGGGCAGTCATGCTGTACATTGCAATGTCACGCAATCGTTGGCTTTACCCGTGTTCGATCCTTCTAGCCAGAGCTGTGTTGGTGTACTTGAGCTAGTAACTCTAACGCATGATGCTGATGAACTTCTCATTAAGATGGAAGATCAAATCTTTGAGGCTCTTCAGGTTTATCCTTCAACCCCATATTGACAACTCTCAGCCTCTCTTTAGCATTCATTTCTTTTATAGTTTCCCCCCTTTTTCTATCCTTCTATTTTATTTTCTAGTACTTGTTATTTTTTGCAACCATCTCTTATTGCTTCCATTTTATTTTCATCCATAAATGGAGACATTCACTTTTATTTCTATCTTATAAACGATGATTCATTTAAGGGTAAATTACACCGGCCTTGGTTGAGATTTTTGACAAATGCTGTGGCGGACCCAGAAATCTTGATAAGAGGGGGCCAAAATCTATATAATAAAAAATTAACTACAAATTTTCGTTTATCACATTCTTACAAATGTTGTGTACGTAGATTATACTAAAATATTCATTTTCATAAGCATAAAAATTAAAAATTATCATTAAAATTACAAATAAAATTTTTACTCAATCGACATTTACAAAACAAAAAATATAATACAAGATTATAATCTTCTTTTACACATTGTACAAAATATAAAATCATAAAATAATAATGTACAAATACTTTTGATGATAGTTGCATTGAATTGTAAGTAACACCAATTAAAGTCATAATCGAATGTCATTTTTTGTTGTAACCAAAGTTATTATAATAAGTTGTAATGAATACCAATTTGAGACAACCAAAATCGTAATAGGATGTAAATAATTTTGATTTAATAATTTTCTAATCTCACCACCATAATGGCTCAGAACTAAACACCACAATAATTCGTAACTAACATTAATTTAGATTATAACTTATGTATGCCACGATCCTAATTAAATGCTTCAAATAAATGGAGAGGGGAGGAAATATTGAGATTTGGATAGTAGGAATTCAACAACATAGATGTAGTACATTAGTTAAGATTTTGGGAATGGATGCAGGGGCAGTGGCCCCCCCTAGCCACCCCCTGTGTCCGCCACAGCGTGAATGTTAAGGACGAAAAGTTACAGGACATATAAACACATCATAGTTGTTAGGTTTTATTTTTGGCAACCCCGTTTGACAAAACTCCTTTAAGTTGTATTTGTTTTCGTACTTTTTATTTCAGTGAGGTTATGAGAGTTTAGATGCGAATCCAACCTGAATTGTGCCTTTCAGAGAAGTTTGTGATGCTAATGCTTTCAAGATTGCCACTTCGCTGATTATGATGGGCATATACATTTTGTGAGAAGGTTGTCAGACACGGACGCCAACACGACACAACTCAACACTCTTCGGACGCTCCCATTAGGGAAGGTCTGTGTAATTATCCCTTTATTTCAAATGTTTTTAGTTTTTCCTGTTTTCAACTACTAGAATTCGACCTGATTTCAAGTGTGGCCTGTTTTTGATACCACTAGTCCACAAAGGCTTTTGGGGTCTTATTGGCTCCTACCACGATGGGGTCTTATTGGGTGAAGTCATAACAAAGGTAGCTGTAGGGGAACTTGTGGCTGGATTGAATCCTTCATGATGGAAATGGCCTCTTCCCCCCTAAAATCATAAAAAATTAGAATACGGGTATAACCAAGATACGTTTGTTAAATGAAAAAAATTATTTGAAGTATTGTATTATATGTAATGTAAGCTTAAAGAATAATTTCATAATTTTTTAGGAATTATGTATTAATTTAAGAGCATATAGTCAACTTATTTTTTGATTTTGGTCCTATAAAAATTTATTTAACTATCAATTCTAAAATGTTTACATTCTATGCTTTTTCCCTTTCAAACTTAAAAGTGTTGTACTTAATTTTATTTAATTGTTGAAATTCAATTTTTTATTGGGAATATTTTTCATTTAGAAGCTTTCAAGATTCCTTAGTGAAATTATTTTCATTTCCCCTGCAGAAGGTGGAACTGGAATATTCAGATCCATATTTTCATGGTGACATCCTTGTAAGTGCCAAACTGCTGCCTTAAATGTCAAGTTTGATATATACATATTTTTTTCTTAATTAATGTTGCTAGAACTTTATACTCACAAATATCTATTGGTGACAAAACTGTTAAAACCAGACCAACAGCAAGAATGATGCTTTTCAATATGCGCTGAATGAAATCAGGGATGTGTTGAAGGTGGTGTGTCAAGTTCATCGTTTACGTTTAGCTCAAACATGGGTCCCGTGCTGGTTTTGCAGCAATGGGATCCATGGTGGTACCTTTGACGTGAGCAGTGAAGGACGAGCCTTGTGCACAATTAAGACAGCGTCCTATTTAGCAGGGGAAGGGGAGTGGCCCTATGGAGAGGATTATACTTTGTTGGATGCCTGTCAATCTCATCACCTACGAAAGGGGCAAGGGGTTGTTAGGAGGGTGCTTTCATCTCATAAATTGTTATTCTGCTCAGGTATAACAAGATTCAGCATAGCCGACTATCCCCTAGCACATTATGCATGCAAGTTTGGATTGACCGGTTGTTTTGCAATTTGCATCAACAAAGGCCATGGAGACCTGCAGACCTCATTGAGCATGATATTGGGAACAATGATGCAATTATTGAAAGGTTTTAAGCTTGCTACTGGAGAAAAACTGAGACAAGATTTATCTATTGAAGCTATTGATTTTTGCAATGATGAGAAACTTGATTCTATGTAGACACCCCAAACTAATAGATATTCCACTACGCTCCCCTTACAAAATATAAGAGAGATGACGCAGCTGGATTCATCAAATCAGGAATCTATGGATGCCATAAACAATGGAAGGAATGATGTTAGTGCGGAGCAAAGCAACATACATGGTACTGATGTACAGAAGAAAAGCAAAACAAAAACGTGGGAGAGGGAACACAGAAAAGGTGGAATTCCAATTAGTTTGGAGGATCTCCAACGTCATTCTGGAATGAAAGTTGAAGATGCTGCGAATAGCCTTGGCAGTAAGTTTACACACTCCAAAAAATATATTATTGTTTGTGATCTTGCTCATTTTATTATCAATTAACTTGCTAGACTCCTATGTAGAGAGATTTTTGTTTGGCTGTAGGTAACAGACAGTAGTGTTTCTAATCCAGAATTTTTTTTGTCCTTCCTGTTTTGTAGTTAGTCGATCTGCATTTATGCGTGTCTGTAGAAAATATGGTACTGATCTGCATTTATTTTCATTCCCCCTCTGATAAAACTGTCCGAGGTGTTGATCAAGAAAAAATTTCAGAATGCAGTCAGAGAGACTGTCCGAGTTCTAATCAAGCCGTGCCTACTATTGGTCGAACAAAGCAACATATTAAGGCAACCCAAGATGCATGTAATGTGACAGTAAAGGCAAAACATCTCCAAAAAGCAATAAAGTTTCAGCTCTCTTCGTCATCAGGAATTAAAGAGTTGCAGCAGCAAGTGGCAAAGAGGCTGAGCCTGAAGGCCGGAACTTACATTATCCGGTATAAAGACGATGAGGATGATTCAGTTTTAATATGCTGTGATGACGACCTGCATGATTATATGCGTTCTTCAAGTTCGCTTGGAAGTACTTTGATCACAATTTGGCTTCAGCCCATCTGAACATTTTGAATCATTGCTGATTATGCATTTATCCTTTAACTAGGTGGTGTCATTTTTCGTTTTTGTTCATTTGTGATAGCACACGTTTCTCTCTCTCTCTCTCTCTCTCTCTGTACTTCTTCAATGGCAATATGCATTCAGAATAGCTAATTGTGGCTTCGTTTGGCAATGGGCTATGGGGCTAAAAAGAAAAAATATATTAAAAAATTAATAAGATAAAATATTATATTTAAATCATAATTATTTAATTTTTTCTCTTACAAAAGTCAAAAAAGTAAAAAAAAATTAACCAAAATGAATTTTTTTAGTCTCAAACTAACATAGTTAAAAGAGAACATTTTATTTTTATGCTTATATTTTGTCTCGATTTTCAATGACACTTCTAGATTTTGATTAATTTTAATTTTATCTCCAAATTTTTTGAAATTGTATTAATTTTACTCTTGTCGTTGCATTTGAAATGAAAAACGTTAAAAAAATTATATTTTAGCCTTAAAATTTAAAAGAAATATGTAAATTTATTCTCTCCTATCCAAACTCATCTTCTCTTCTCTTTCTCCTATTTTTTCCCCCTCCACTGATCAACAACTCCACCCATTGATTCCTCCTGCTCCGAGTGGCTTCATCTACCACCGAACCCACAACCCTGTGTCCTCGTTGATTTTGCGATCCTCATTTGAAGAAAAAGGGTGTAAATCATCTGGCAGAGAGTGAACTTTCCTACCACCACAAATTTTCCTGGAAAATGACTCGAACTGTACCTAATACATACTCCCATGCTGAAACATTTTTTGTGGCTTCACACAATGTACCCAATAATGAATTGTCTTGAATAGCAGTGTTATGGGGCATTGAATAGATTGAAAAATCTGCCAAAAATGATCATCACACCGATCATTGGAAACGGTGTACATGAAAAAAACTTGGTCAAATAACCATGCAAAAGAAAGGGTGCACTCGAGTTTTGATGGTCTCTAAATCCTCATAAGATATGAATTTCTCGTCTTCAATGCATGAGTTTGAAGCTGCAGAATGATGAACACAATTGAAGAGAAGGCATTCTTTACAGAACAAGAAGTTAATTCTGCCTAACCTCCAAAACCCTCTTGCCATTGCTGCTTCTTCTTTATCATCCTATGAGAAAGCGGAAAATTGACGCTGTTCGCTCTTCTTTCGATGGTTTCCTAGATAAGCTCTTGCCTCTCCGGCCGTTGCGGTGGCTCTGGCTCTATTCCAAGCATAAAAGGCTCTAATGATCCGAGCTTTGATGGAAACGAGAAAGTCCTGAATGACATATTGGTTATATGTTCTTCAGTCCCCACAACAGACTTTGACCAAGTGGTGGTGTTTTCATCCTCTGATAACTCAATATTTTGAACAAATTCAGATAAATCTTCATGGGAAAAGTCATCAAAGTTGGCACTGCAAGCTCGTTTCATGGTGGGAGCTCTCGAGATGGGTTTGTTGAATGATCTAGATTTCAAGAGTTTCGTGGATGACCATGTGGTTGAAATAGACCACCCATGGCGACTCGCCCAAGCAATCTCCGGATTGTTTTCTCAATCCCAAACGGGGCAAGTATATTTTGTCTCGATTTTCAATGACACTTCTAGATTTTGATTAATTTTAATTTTATCTCCAAATTTTTTGAAATTGTATCAATTTTACTCCTGTCGTTGCATTTGAAATGAAAAACGTTAAAAAAATTATATTTTAGCCTTAAAATTTAAAAGAAAGATGTAAATTTATTCTCTCCTATCCAAACTCATCTTCTCTTCTCTTTCTCCTATTTTTTCCCCCTCCACTGATCAACAACTCCACCCATTGATTCCTCCTGCTCCGAGTGGCTTCATCTACCACCGAACCCACAACCCTGTGTCCTCGTTGATTTTGCGATCCTCATTTGAAGAAAAAGGGTGTAAATCCTGGCAGAGAGTGAACTTTCCTACCACCACAAATTTTCCTGGAAAATGACTCGAACTGTACCTAATACATACTCTCCCATGCTGAAACATTTTTTGTGGCTTCACACAATGTACCCAATAATGAATTGTCTTGAATAGCAGTGTTATGGGGCATTAAATAGATTGAAAAATCTGCCAAAATGATCATCACACAGATCATTGGAAACGGTGTACATGAAAAAAACTTGGTCAAATAACCATGCAAAAGAAAGGGTGCACTCGAGTTTTGATGGTCTCTAAATCCTCATAAGATATGAATTTCTCGTCTTCAATGCATGAGTTTGAAGCTGCAGAATGATGAACACAATTGAAGAGAAGGCATTCTTTACAGAACAAGAAGTTAAATTCTGCCTAACCTCCAAAACCCTCTTGCCATTGCTGCTTCTTCTTTATCATCCTATGAGAAAGCGGAAAATTGACGCTGTTCGCTCTTCTTTCGATGGTTTCCTAGATAAGCTCTTGCCTCTCCGGCCGTTACGGTGGCTCTGGTTCTATTCCAAGCATAATTGGCTCTAATGATCCGAGCTTTGATGGAAACGAGAAAGTCCTGAATGACATATTGGTTATATGTTCTTCAGTCCCCACAACAGACTTTGACCAATTGGTGGTGTTTTCATCCTCTGATAACTCAATATTTTGAACAAATTCAGATAAATCTTCATGGGAAAAGTCATCAAAGTTGGCACTGCAAGCTCGTTTCATGGTGGGAGCTCTCGAGATGGGTTTGTCGAATGATCTAGATTTCAAGAGTTTCGTGGATGACCTTGTGGTTGAAATAGACCACCCATGGCGACTCGCCCAAGCAATCTCCGGATTGTTTTCTCAATCCCAAACGGGGCAAGTCAACGGACCAGTACGCGAACTTTGAGTCTACCCCGAGCTCAATGGTCTCATCTCCGGCGGCTTCTAATTCGGTTGTGTCCAACGACAGCTTCACAATCCCTGAACTGATCAGAAAACTGGCCAAAATTTGCAACTCGGGCGAGATCTCCCCGCAATCTCACCCTTTGTTGGCGGCCACGACGGCATACATTGACGGTGGAAACAGTGGAACTTTGAATTCACAGTCACATTTTCTAATTATGGGTCATTTCTTGAAAGAAAACTTGCCCAATTAAGGGTTTCATGGGGGAGGGGTTGCAGTGAAGGAGGGCTAGCCGCGGCCATTGGTGGCCGACGGAGTTGTCAAGGTGCAGAAAGAAGAGAGATGGCGAGTTTGGGTAAGAGAGGGTGACTTTGCATCTATGGTTTGAAATTTAGAGTTAAAATATAATTTTTTTAAAATTTTTTTTTGTCTGAAATGTGATGGTAGACGTAAAATTAATATGATTCTAAAATTTTTGAAAGTAAAATCAAAATTATTAGAAGTGTGGGTGTGTAATTGCTTGTGAAGACAATATATTTGTAAAAATGAAATGTTATCTAATTAAAAAATTAACTAAAAAAAGTTAATTACTAAACGATTAGTGTATAAGAGCATCTCCAACGGTGAATCAAAAATTTCACCAAACCTGAGTTAAAAAATGGCCATTTCCTGAATTTGATACTTCAGGCTCCAACGGTTCACTTTCACCAAATCTATCTCGGGACAACCGGGTGATCGACCGGCCGGTTGACCGGTTAGGCAAAAATTTTTATTTTTATTTTTTTTCGCGAATTGTCTGAACTTTTTTTGAACTTTCTGAACTTTTTTCGGGACAACCGGGGTGGTCGACCGGCCGGTTGACCGGTTAGGCAAAATTTTTTTATTTTTATTTTTATTTAACGGTTTGAACTTTTTTTCCTGAACTGTTTGAATCTTTTACTGGTTGACCGGTTGGTCAACCGGCCGGGCAACCGGTTGGTTGACTGGTGTACCATTTTCAACGGTCAGTAACAGTGATTTGGTAAAATCTGTGTCTTGATCTCAGTTTGATGTCTTGTTTGCTGAATTCTCATTTTAGTATGACTTTGGTGCAACCGTTGGAGCGTGAAAAAGTGAATTTTTCATCAAAATTTAAATCTGATGCTGGGTTTGGTTCACCGTTGGAGATGGTCTAAGAAAACCATTAACCTATTTCTTAAAAATATCCATAAAAAAAAATATTAATAAAAAAAAAAGATAGAAAGAAGGAAATAACCACATTGTGGCACGGACTCATGCTCGTCAATCCACACTTTTTTTTCTTTTTTTCTTTTTACAAAGTATTGGAGCCCCTTCCATGCTAATTGAATTTCAAGCAAGCGAATTTAAATGTTGCTAGAATTGAAATTAAGGAAATGATCCAGACCCTAGCACCTCCACACATTTGTGAGAGAAAGGGAGGAAAGAGGGAGGAGGGAAAAAAAATATAATGTGTGGCTACAAATCAATTGGGAGTTGTGAGGGTCAAAAATAGTGGAGGTTTCAAGTATTTTCCTTGAAATCTTGTTTGGTTCCATTTTTTCAAAAACATTTTTCAAAAAATTTACTTTCTTATTTTTCGTTTTTTTGTTTTTACTGAATTTTTTAAATATTTTAAGCAATTTTTTTATTTTTTAAACACACCTAACATAAATACACCCAAAAAGTAATTTTTTTTTTAAAAATTCACT